AAACTGTACTCTCTCCACTTCCTTTTGGTATTTTAAGCATCTTTCTGTTTCTTTAGCTACTATTCAGCTGTTTTTTTGCAAATTTCTGCTCCCCCCCCCAGATAATTTCCACTATTTTGTGCCCATTTGTTTATTTCAGCCTAATTTGTTAAATGTGTTCCGTTTTGTTCTACTACTTTAAGCTTGTTCTAACATTTCAGCTACGTTTTTAGCATTTTTCCCCCAATTCCAGCCGTTTTCAGTTAAATTCAAGTTTTTCATGGTAATTTCTTCTACTTTGAGCTTATGTAAGTTATTTCTGCTCCTTTCTGCCTTTTCAGCTATACTTTTTAGAAACTGTTTGATCATTTCAGCTTTTTTAAAGCCGATTTCTTCCATTTTATTTTTTTGCAATTTTTTGCAAATTTTTCAGCAACAAACATTCACACTATTTTTGCAGGTGTCTCTAGTTGATGATCGTTATTCTCTGAAGCTGCAGCAGAAATTAAAATATGTTGATGTGCACAAATGATGCGTCCACAGTCATCTCCAGCAACAAATGAATATTTCATTTGGAGATGAAGCGAAATGCAAAAGACCAAGCCTAACAAGTTGCAACATTAGTATAGGATTCTGCTGTACATCTTTTGCAAAAACAAAAAGAAAGGGGGGGTCTTTTTAGGGGCGGGGGGGCATCTGGTTGGCTTCTAACGTAGCTTCAGCACATGCTCGAAGGAATGCAGAGCAACAAATAAAATCTTTATAAGCTTCCAAGCAACTGCTTGAGCTTCGAGGCTGTATTTTATTGTTGTTGTTGTTGTTGTTTCCCCTCTCCGTGTTGTCACCGCCTCCCTCTTTCTGCTGTGCACCCCCTCCAGGTACATGCTGCTGCTGTTCACCCTGTTCTTCATCCCGGGTGTGGTGATGATCATAGCGTACGGTCTGATCTCCAGAGAGCTCTACCGAGGGATTCAGTTCGAGCTGAGCCAGAACAAAGACACTGCCGGTGAGATCCATCATGCAGCGCCCATGAATATTTCAGGCTTTTATTGCCGTCAAGAATCAATCTTTACAACAGAAAAATAAATAAATAAAAAACAGAAATGTGTAATGTAAAAGAAGTTACTGCACAAACGTTCACTCCCTTTACAGTCGTTTCTAGTACGAGCTCCTTTGGCTACAACAGCACCGAGTCTGTGTGGGTAAGTCGCAGTCGGCCACAGATTCTCTGTTGGATTCAGGTTTGGGCTTTGACGGGACTTTGTTGTCTTGAAGCCATAGCTATGATGTTTTCCCATCATGCTTTGAGTCATTGTCTTGCTGGAAAAGAAATCCGAACCCAAGCTCCAGGATGTCCATTTATTTTGCGTCTTGTGTTTTACCCTCTACCTTTACAATTCATCCACGTATGGATGCTGAGAAACTTCCCTGTAGCACGATGCTGCCACCACCATGATGCACAGTGGGGATCAGTTCATGAGGACGCGTGATGTCGTGTCCACCAAAAGCGTTTTCTTGTCCAAAGAGCTACAGTTTGGTCTCATAGAACCTTTTTCCACTTGACCGTGACTGCTACCACATGCCGTTTGGCTAACTCTTGTCTAGTTTTAATCAGTTTTCTTCATTGGTGACTTTTTCTTTGCCACCGTCCCGGAACCGGTCCTGCTGGAACAGTGTCCGGGGACGCTCTTATTTTGACAGGGTGCGTTTCTGTAACCGTTTGCTTGGATCCGGTAACTCTTAGGCTTACTACTAATAAAGTTATGAACAAATTTGACCGCCTTGAACAAATAAAACCTATATTGGATATGCAATCTTAAAATAATTACATAAACACTAATTGCGAGCTTCTTAATCAAAGCTAGGCCTGTCACGATAAATTTTGCTGGGTGATCGTCTCAGAAATTATCGCGATAAACGATAATATTGTTTGAAATTTGACAATTAGTAATTATTGTCAAATTTGAAAAGAAATGTTCGTTAATTTGTTTTGTGTGTAGTACCTTTTTTGACCGCCGGATGGCAGTATATGACTGAACCGAAAGATGGATTGTGAGGGAGCGAGCAGCGTGTCTCTAAGAAAAATGGGAGGGAGGCCCCTTGACATGACATGGGCTGTCTCTCGTTCCCGTTTTTCAGTTCTCAAAATGGCAGACGCTCGGTGTGGTTTGAGCTCTGTAGCGTAGCATTTTTCACACAAAGCTTTTAATTAAAAAAAAAAAAATCAGTAAACAAGTTCTCAACTTCTTTTTGCAGAGAAAAACAAATTTTTACACGAAGGCACGGGTTTCAACCGTGAATCTTGGAGCTTTGACAGAGTTTTTTCTCATGGTCAGCCTGTTAGCTTAGCTTGTAGCTTAGCTTCTCAGCTTAGCTGCTTTTAACGATCCCAAAACTCAATTTTGGACGGTTAAAACAAATTTTAAGAGAAAATGGAAAGGGAGGAGTCAGTGAAGAGCACCGGAGTTGAGCCTTTTGTCATCCAGTGTCTTCAGTAGAAAGAGAGAGACACGAAACAAACGATAAAGCTGATAAATGAAAATGAGGTTGATAATTTTTATTTATCATGCGATGAATTGATTTATTGTTTATCGCGACAGGCCTAATCAGAGCTGCCCCTTCAAGTAAGTATTTCCGCTTCTTCCCTTTTAAAAATTTCCGCCCCTAAAAGATCAGCCATGGAAAATTTAAGTAAAAACACAAACATATAGTTATACAGCACAACTAAATTGCATAAGAGTTTTACAGTTTAACTGGGCCTTTAATAACATTTTGATTATTAAAAATACGAGGGGAATGTTTGGTGGGTAATCACGTTACGAACAACACGTATCAAAACAACGGTTCACATTTATCAAAAAAAATGTCAAAAAGACAGTCCAATTTACTTTCATTAAAAAGTCTTCTCTTTGTACAACTAAGCAACCGAGAATTGAAGCACATGATGGCAGTAGCAATAGAGATGGGGGTTAGGATGCTTGAGAGAAGCGGCGCGCTCTATTCAAACAAGGAGAGCTGTTGGTCAGGATATTTCTTGTTGCGCTCTAAAATAGTTATAGAATTAAGTGTTTACAAATGTAGTTAACTCATCAATATACACCTGAATGCAGGAAATGGCAATGGCTATTTGCATTCCGGCATCGTTTGCTTTACAAATGAAGCACTGCGCTGTCCTATAATCTTTCGAAGAACTCGGGCAACAGTTGCTGCATGCTCAGTCTGTTCCATCCTACCTGCTGAAGCTTGTAACTCCTTCAAAGTGCTCACAGGTGTCTTGGTTGCCTCGCTCACCATTCTCTTTCTAGCACGGCCACTCGGTTTATGAGGACAATCTGCTCTTGGTAGATTGCTCCATGCTCCATATTCCTTCCATTTCTTGATGATGGATCCCGGGTATGTTGAAGTCCTTGGAAATCCTTTTGTATCCGTCCCCTGACATGCGCCTTTCAGTGATCTTTTCTCTGAGTTGCTTGAAGGTCTTTTGCTTTCATGGTATAATGATGGCCAGGAATAGTGAATCACATGTTCTTATACTGCAATCACTTGAGACACATCAACTGTCCTTAGGTGATTCCCAATTTACTAGTTGTGAGACTTCTAGCACCACGTGGCTGGACCGCTGTTGACTCAGTCATTTTAAACGGGGTGAATATTTATGCAATTACTTTGTAGAAATCGGTTTTCGGTTTGTAATTAAAGAGGGGGTTATTGATTGATTGATTTTTTTGTCTTAAACAACGTGACTGATCTATACCAGATGAAACATCCACTGGGGGTGAATACTTTTTATAAGCACTGAAAATCCAAACTCAAATTGCCTAGAAGAGTTTTGCTCGCATTAGTGTCATTAAATTAATTTAGGATGAAAATACATTAGTCATTTTTGACAGGCCTGCAAGAAGCCGCAGTAAATTACATTAAACAAAGTGGATATGAAAACATTTCTCTTTGTGTTCCAACAGACGAAAGCAAAATGGAAAAATGCAGAATCCCGTCTGAATCAAAAGGGACGTTTGTTTATTTTGCCTCGAGCAGAGAATGACATATTTTTTTGAACACCTACAGATTCTGCACCTGTGACATCCAAAATTACACCGCCTCTCAGTTCTCCCATTACCAAATGCACTGTTGTGTATTAGAGCCGTTACGTCCCACAGGATAGGAGAATACCTGTTAAACCTAAAATTGTCTTTTCGGGGCATGGATTTGTATGAGATTCTGACGGTATGATAACCTCGAGCAAACATGCCACAAATTCACAATAAAACAAAACTTAAACTATGGGATATGATAGATTTGCTTTTGTTTAATGAAAGTAACATTTATTGAAGCAATGCATATTGCCTGTTGCCTAAAGTTTAAAACAAGGATTTCGGACAATTTGTTAGTACTCAGAGTATGTGTTGGGGACCAGGGTCTGCTAATACCTCAACAAAACTCAGCCCATCAGCTCAAACACATCGAGTTGCTGTCATTTTTTCTTTAAGACTGATTAGCTGTGGCAACCATCTTGGATTCGATCAGTTCTAAAACTTAGCAGTGGTGGACACAGTTCTGCTATTCCACTAATAGCGGAACTAACTTTCCGTTTAGCGGATTAGCGTTTTCTCTAACTTTGAAAACCTTTAACGGAATTGGCTTCCGCTAAATTTAAATCCAGTAAATTCAAGTTCCGTAATTTAAAAAAATATTTATCAGTGCTAAAAGCATACAGGAGAATGGTGATTTACACGGAGGGATGCTATGCTAAGCAAAGCTAAGTTCTACCCAATGATGTAGCCACCCTTGCAGTGCTTTCCCCCCTCATGGTGTCCGTTTCCAGACAATAACAGGGACTTTTCCATAAATCCCAAACCAGAACAGGAAAATAACAAAAAACCCATTCAACACAATTCCTACCCAGCATGCTTTGCAATGGTCACTGTGACTGGGATGTGACTCTCTCACACATTTCGCACATCTTTACTTTAATATAAACAGATTTATTACCAAGAGAATATTGATTATGACCCACAGCAACTTTGTATTTAGTTTATAAAAGTAGTTCAACACAATGAGGATCACCAAAGTGAGTTAATTTATTATAGTAAATGGCACAAGGAAGACGTCCGACAGACATCGAATGCATCAAACTGCTATAGCACAGTGAAGTTCTGCTCCGCCTCTTTGGTTCCAATGGACCGGATTAGTTTCTGAAGGCTCACTCTGAACGGGACACGGACGCTTTACTTGTGGTTTATGAACAGTTTTGAATTGTGTTCACTTACAATGATGCCACACGAGAGACAGTCTTACAGTGTCAGTGACAGCAGTGTATGATAAAAGTTAGCACTTTAGCATTAGCCTCAGTTAATTTTTTTTATCGGTTTAGCATTAGAAAAGCAATTTTTTAAATTAGCAAATTATTGGTCAGCAAATCTAACTTTTTGGTTTGCTGTGCCCACTACTGCTTATCAGTTAAGATATAAGTATAATGAATGTTGTTTGAATGTTTTATCAAAATCAGTCTCCTAGCTGTATTCAGATATTTTGCTAACACACACACACACACACACACAAACACACGCACACATCCCACACACACTAGTTGTTATAATTAAATAATATACTCTTTAAAATCTGCCAAAACAGATTTTATTTTCTTGGGGTTCCACAAGGCTCAGTTCTTGGTCCTACACTTTTAATTGTTGAAAAAGCTCACTTTTGTTTGAAATATATCCTATTATGACTTGAAAATTATCAAATATATGTCACTGTTTGCTTTAATGAAATTGACTTAAGATTACATGTTCACTTTTTTCTTTTTAAAGGTCAAAGGAATGGAATAGGTAGGGCTATGGCGAATGACGATGACGACGGCTGCTACATTCAGGTGTCAAAAAAGCCCACTTTTGCTGTGGAGCTTCCCACCCTCTCCGCCTCATCTAGCACCGTCCAGCTCAAGACTGAGCGAGCTCGTAGTAACACGTCAGAGGCTAAACTTCAAGCCAAGAGACGCGTCATCCGCATGCTGATGGTGATCGTAGCCCTCTTCTTCATCTGCTGGATGCCCTTGTACTCAGTCAACACCTGGAAGGCCTTTGACCCCATGTCTGCCTCCAAAGCCCTCTCCGGAGCACCCATCTCCTTCATCCACCTGCTGTCCTACACTTCGGCCTGCGTCAACCCCATCATTTACTGCTTCATGAACACTCGTTTCCGCAAGGCCCTACTGGCCACCTTCGCCTGCTGCTGTCGTAACCGCCTGTGCCGCCGCTGCCAGTGGGGCAGGAGGAGGGAGGGCGAAGATGGCATCAACGCCACCTCCATGGCCACGTCGATGGTGACCTCCATGTCCAAGTTCAGCTACACTACAGTCAGCTCTACCGGAACCTACTGAACCTTTGAGGAGAGTCGGTGGTCACACCAACTGTTTTTATTTATTTAGGTCAGTCCTCATCCTGACAAGCTGTGAGTCATTAGCTGAGTAACATCCATACACTCATTTAGAGGCCTTGCTCAAAGGTCTTGCTCAAATAATGTGTGCATGATTGCAGAATTGGTGGAGGAAAAAAAATGTTTATGTGGTGACATTATTTTACCTCTTTTATATATTTTTTTATTGGCAGCAACCACTTCATTGCATTTTGAAGAGAACAAGTGCCTGTGCTCTTAGTGTAGCTTCATTTGTTAAGATTCACTTGCTAAAATGAGTATTTTACAAAAAAACAAACAACAAAAACACCAAACAATTGTAAATTATGTGTGCATAAATACCGTCTGTGTTGTGAATGTGCCAATGCAAAGTTTGTTGACAGAAAAATAATCCAGAACAGGGAAGATTGGTAGCGTTTTTAACTTCTTTTGAGATTGTATAATATTTTCTGTCTGCGATCATATTTATTTTTCTACCATTTACTCTTTTTACTATTGTTCCAACATTACTTTCAAATGTTGTTCATCTGTAATATATTTAATAATTTATTTGTCCTACAGTAGTCCCTCGCCACTTTGCGGTTCGACTTTTGCCGACTGTTTCGCAGTTTTTCAAAGTAAGACTGCACATGACACAACTGGCTGATTGATGGATGAGCCACTCAATCGGCATGGATCGTTTATTTAAAGTAGGAGAAGTGGGCGTGGCCGACAGCGCTGGCAGGTGGAAGAGAGCACGGAGATCATGACATGCTGTGCTCTTTTAGAGCGTTTAGCATATTGCAAGAGTGTGGGAAGGATTTAAAATACCTTTATATATATATACACATATATATATATACATACACATATATATATATATATACACATACACATATATATATATACATACACATATATATATACACATACACATATATATATATACATACACATATATATATATACATACACATATATATATACATACACATATATATATATACATACACATATATATATATATATACACATATATATATATATATACATACACATATATATATACATACACATATATATATATATATACATACACATATATATATATATATATATATATATATATACACATACATATACACATATATATACACATACATATACACATATATATACACATACATATACACATATACACATACATATACACATATACACATACATATACACATATACACATACA